AGGAAGTAGTTCGAGCAGATGTGGTCTTACGCCCTCATCCAACACGAAGTTTACTCCTCCTCCTCCTCCTCCTAGTCTGCTGCTACTGCTGCTGCTGCTGCTGCTGCTGCTGCTGCTGCTGCTGCTACTGATACGGCTACTGCTACTGTAACGACCACGACCACGACCACGACTACAATACCGCGACAACGACGACAAACCGACGACGTCGTAGGCGGCTGCTACTACTTCAGTCACAGCAATATAGGCAATGGTGATTGCATGGGACGGAATGACCAAGTCTACTCTTTAGGCGATGGGCCTCCTGCTCTTGATTGTTGGGGTGTTGGGCTTTCTGGCCCTTTGCACCTATGCGGTGGTCCTTTCGCCAAGGCGGGTGGGAGTCTGCTGAAATGTGGCATGTATGGGGCTACTGGTCCTTTCTGGGGTTGAGGGTTCGGAGTTATTCCGGTTTCCAGCTCCTCGAAAGGCTTCAGGATTCCTTCTCCGTGTCAGACTCCTGAGCCCAGCGTCCAGCATTCGTATCGGAGAAGCGACTTGTTGGGCAAAGTTCGCCTCTCCTGTGTCAGCCCGTTCGAATCACAAGTCGAGAGTCTAGAATGGCTTCTTATCCCAGCAGTTGCAGTAAGCCTGAGTAACTTGATCTTTGCCTTGGACAGCGCCTCATTCGGACGAGATCACCACGGGACCTTGGCTCAGGTGGAGCGCCCAGGGGCAGCACGCCAAGGTCAGGGCCTTCCGATTCCTGCTCTTCCGCTTCCGACTGGACAGTTGGTGGTTTGGCGTGCCGTTGCTGATCCGCGGTCCGCTGCTGTCACTTCCGATCGCGCTGGCCACTGACTACCCGCCCATTCAAGCTTCTTAGAGATCAAATCGATCCAGTGAGTACCGCAAGAGGACGTTGCAGAATTCAGAGCAAGGGGTAGTGATGGACGGCCGAGGTTATGGCTATGTCGAGCGTCTTCATAGTCTTCCTGGCACTGGAGTGCCGTGCCTGGCCCTGGAAGGTTCCCCTCCTAAACGTCATGGACGCATTGCTCTGCCTGATCATGACGCTGCTTGTGGGCTCCACCTCGCTTCATCTGGGAGCCATTGAGGGCGAAATGAAGGACTGCACAGATCGTTGCCGCAGGGGGTGCACGAGGGGGTTGTAACCCGTCGAAGTTTGGTTCACCCAATTTAAGAACATGCGGTGAGGGCTCAGACCTTGGGATTGCAAGAAATGTCGTCGTAACTCTTGGCGGCCTGGACACTTACTTGTATTATTTTGTTGGCCGATGGTCCTGGTTGTAACCTGTTGATGCTATAGGTGACATGCCTTCAGAAGCAGCATGTCTAGTCTTTTGCTGCGAGCCGTGCGGTTCTATGGGTACAGGCGCGGCTACACACAAGACTACACACCTCAATCAATTTCTCGTAGGCAAAATAGAGAACCCACCGTTGCATGCTGGTCTAGCCGTTTAGACACTTGTGCGGGAGTTGAATCTCAGGGTGCGGTGCGGCTTGATGTGCTGGGCTCATCTGCGACAAAGACACCGACATAGCGCGACCTGAATCCACAAATCCTTGCAGGACTTTGCCAGCATCCTGGCCTCAGTTCTCATGGGTTGCCTTGGCGTTGCTATGGCTTCGCTCCTCTTCATGACCGTGTCTGCTCTCGTCTACCGAGCAGCACTGGGTGTCTAGGCTCAGACTGACGAGTCTTCGGTGGAACCTGTCAGTGAGCAGAGCTGAAACTGACAAAAGCTATATCCTCGCCCACCTCACATGCCCCGGTGACCCTGCACCTGGAGCCCGGCACCTCGACAAAGGTGGGCAGCAAGAGCTCTTTTTCTTCAACTTGCAGAAGCAGCCCTCTTCGGCAGAGGTGTCAGAGCGGCTGAAAGCCTCGGCGGCCCGGATACGGAGCATGGAGGATCTTTCGTCATGATAACATGTTGCAGGAGCAGCAGCAGTAGTAGCAGGAGCAGAAGCAGGAGGCAGGAGCAGGGGCAAGAGCAGGAGCAGGCGCAGCAGGAGCAGCAACAGGAGCAAGGGCAGGAGAAGGAGTAGTGGTAGTAGTCGTCGTCATAGTATTAGTGGTAGTCGTACCCGTAGCGGTAGTCGTAGTCGGCGTGGTGGTAGTGGTAGAGAGCTAGAGGTAGAGGTAGTGGTAGTGCTAGGAGCAGGGAGCAGCAGTAGCAGTGGCACTAGGCAGCAGGCAGTAGGTAGTCCACACCTTGCACCACTTGGAGGAGTCCGATCTTTTGCTGGCGGTAGGGCTGCTGTCGGTCTACGACCTGGGACTCGTGGTGTCCTACATGTCGATGGCGCATTCTGAGATCCTTGCATCAGTTTGTTCCTTTTGAGCTTGGGTGGAGCTTGCCGTTGCATGCTTGGTTTTCGCGTGTGAAGATTACTCTTCCCGGATTGGGAAGTTGTGGGACACGCACATTTGTTCTTGTAGGGTCTGGCAGCTGAGCTTCGGGCACTGTTGAGCCTGGAATCGGATCGTTGCGCAAACCCTGGGCCCGAAACCTGCGGCTGATCATACTTGGTCATGTAGCAGGGCTTCTCTGAAAGACTGCACATGGATCCACGTATAAGGCATCTGAAACTTTTCCATGGAAGGCTTTAGTCGGCCGCTTTGAAAAGGAACACAGCTACGTGCCATAGTCGGTGTGTACCTCAGGTTAACTTCCCCTTGTTCCTTGCCAGCAGCCCGTGATTTGTGAAAGGATCGCAGCAACAGAAGCTGGCGACGAGTTGCAGATGCACCGTATCTGCTCGCATTCCTTCGCGCCTCCGAAACCCAAGCTCAGAAAGGCAGATGGAGGGATATGAAAGCAAGTGTCAGTGCCTAAGAGCAGATCGGGCACAAGTGCGCGCATGCAAACGCAGGTAACGACACACACACACACAAACATGCCTCCATCCATCCATCAAGGCAGCCGTCGATTCATCCGTCCGTTCAAACATGCAATCGTGCATATCTATGTGTGTATATATATATAGATATATACAAGACACCTTTCTACTTGCGAATGCATGTACGTGCTACCTACCTGCATCCCTACCTACCGGCCCACCTACTTACATGCTTACACACGGAGACAAGTGCACACACGCACACTCATTTTTACAGAGATTCTGCGTACATACATACATGCATACATACACATAAGCAGACCTACGTACATGCATACCTACCTACGTACCTACGCACGGACATGGTAGATAGTAGTAGGATAGATCGACAGATGTATATATAGATAGCCAGATAGATTGCTAGATAGGTAGATAGGTAGGTAGGTAAGTAGGTAGACAGGTAGCTAGATGGGTAGACAGTCCAACGAGCCTTTCCATAGGCAAGTTTATACGTTTGTACGTAGTCGCAGTAATCGCTGCAGTCCATAAACCCATGCATTCATGCAAGCACATGCACAGGTGTGGTCCAACAGTGATCCTCTATACCCCTCTATGTTAGAGATATGTTAGTCAGAGTGCCTCTGATCAGCGAAGAACATGTCCTGGAGCTTCGTTGCACAAACACATCTAACGGTCTTCTTTCCTCACAATGCATCGCTGGCAAGAGCCCGAAGCACCCCAGATGAAGAAGCCCTCTGACCTGGGACGACGGCTGCGCTTAACGGTGCAGAGATTGACGGCGGAGATGGACACCGGAAGGCCAAGCCTTCTCCAGGCGGGGTTTAGTGTGCAAAGAGGGTTTAGGGTTGAAGGTTTAGGGTTTAGGGTTTAGGGTTCAGGAGACAGGATCGAGGGTTCTTGGATGTGGTGCAGCTCTTCCTTTCATAGGTAAGGTTTCCTGGGAGCCTTTGAGGCATCGCTAGATTTAGATGCAACGTTGACAAGGGAAGACCCAAAGGATGCCTCCTAACTTCCAGAAACTACTGTGGCAAAGCTCTTCTGGCTCGAGCCCCTCCAGATTCTAGTTGGAATGAGCCTCCCATCAAAGCATGATCGAGTGAAGACATGACAATATGGCTTAGGCAGTTTAGGGCTTAGGGCAGGATGTGGAGAGGTATTGTAATGGCTTTCCTTGCCGAAGTTGTGATTCGTCTAGCTACAGAGAGAAACTGTGCTCCACAGGAAGAGCTTCACTCGGAGGATGGCATGGGTGCTTCTTTCAGCGGCCCAGTAGAGGCCGTAGCGGACAACGCGGCCCCGAAGGACCCCCCTCCTGAACTCAAAGCTTGGGCTGCCCGGGGAGGGCTCAGGAGGCTCAGGATTTTCGGACGTGTTAGGTACAGGTTTTTGCTTTATCGAGTCTTCGACCAATTGTCAGGAGCACTGTGTACGTTCGGACGGGAGCATGAGCAGTCCACATGGATCCACCCATCGATACCGGCAGGACGTGGACCCGAAGCCAAAGGAGCCAGAGTGCCTGGGATGTTCAATTCCCGATCCATTTTCCAATTGAGATCTTGCTGATTCAGGGTTGATTTCCCATCGACAGCCACAAGAATTCCAGAAGCCCAAAACGTAAATAAGCCCAAGCCTCTTCAGGTCCATCTGGGATTCGGAATCGTCGGGTGTGCCCGAAGACCTGCCGGCACGTCTCCCTGCTCCTCGCCGTGTTTGAGAGAGCCCATTCTGTGACAGAGGCTTTGGCATTGGCATATGGCAAGGTCGGATGTTGCAGGGCATTCTGTTGTTGGCATTGGAATACACACACTTCAAGTTATCATTTGTGCTCATGCGAGATAGAGACTTTGGATGCGGCGCCACAAGTCTCCAGTCTCGCACCCACCCCCTCCCCGCTGACTAAAAAACACTCTTTCAGAACATCTACCCGGGGACTTGCATCATATTGTGCAGTTGCTCTTGCTGCAGCTTGAATTGATCTGGTCCAGAACATAAGAAAACTCGTATCGGAGCCCCTCTAAAGAAGGGACTGTCTTCCAGAAGGGTTGCCGAAAGCAGCCCTTATAGAAGCCCTGTTCAGAACACCAAGACCTGTACATTCTTTTTTAGATCCCTTAAAATCAATCCTAAATCAATCCTCGAAGCGATCCGAGGCAGCCGACTCGAGCTATACAGTGCCAGACAAGCGAAGCAGCTGGGTCTGAGGGGCTCGTAGGTTAGAGAGATTTAGATGGTTTAGTTCTTTCGTTGCGGTTTCGCTTCCAGCGAGAGGGGAGACAATTTCAAGGATTCAGGTGCTCTCTTCGGCTTGGGCATTATTTTGTATCAATAATTGGTCATGAGTCAAGGCTCCCGTGGGGTCCATGAAAAACTTAAGCCCTAATCATCCTGCCTTCACCAAGTCCCCGGAATTGAAAAGAGTGCATACTTCCCAAAAGGGAACTATGGATGCACCGTGCAAAAGCCGGCTCAGTGTTGGCTTGCGGTCCAAATCCTGTCCAGCACGACGCCAGTCTCCCCTCGTGGCGAGTCCAAGCTTAGCAGAGAAACCTGGGGTGTCGATGTGTGGATGCCCGTGGACCATGAGAAAGGGACCCTTGCTGTAACTTGCAACCGCCATAATGCCAGCCAGCGGCCTATGAGGATCGGATGAGAGTAGTGTCCAGTTGTTACACAGGGCCGTTTCGAGGTTCTTGCCGAACAGCATTTTCGACGGCTAGTTTCTCCGACACGTGGCCAAGCCTCTGTTCGGAGACAGCCGGTGACGGGCTGAGGTCAGCTTTAGTTTTTCATAGCATTGTTTATGAAAGCTAGCCGCAATACCATGCATGCTGGTGCCTTGTTGTCACACAGACATCCAGGCAATGAGGCAGGCAGGGAGCCAGGCCGGCAGACGCACAGACACACGCAAACAAACAACAAGCAAACAAACCAAATAGACAAACCAAATTAAACCACACACACACACACACACACACACCCACACACACACACACAGACACGCGCGCACACAGACACACACAGACACACACCCACAGACAGACACACAGACACAGACACAGACACAGACACAGACACAGACACAGACACGGACACACACACAAGGGCAATCCCGCTTATGGACGCTCAACAGTGCTGGCGTTGTCTTCACCAGCATATCTGCCGGTTGCGG